ACAGGAGTTTTGATTGGAGGGAATCAAAAGTGTTCCAAAGTGGAAAACAAACACTTGACCGGGCAGAGTAAATATACTGATTAATGTAAAACATAGTGTGAAAATTAGCCATTAAGCTTTCACTCAAACCCGAGCAAATGCATGTGTTTGAGTTTTTTTTCCAAAACAAATATGGCTGTAGAGTAAAAGATAAATCAATCAATCAATTAATCAATCTCTTTATTTAGACACAATTATGGTCCATAAAAACAGACAAAACAAGAACAATAAAAAAGAAGAAAAATAAAAATATACATAATGAAATAATCAATCACTGACATATAAACTATAGCGCCAATGATTCCACAAACTGGAGAAGAATCTCACTGAGCTTTGAACAGGATTGGTCAAAGTCTGAATGATGCTGTTTGCAGAGTCTGTTAATCTACACACACATCTGTGCATAATGTTTCGAAGCACAACAGCACAGGTTGGTACATTGACATTCACAAACACCTGACTGGCACTACACCATCGGGGCACCCTAAGCAGCATCCTCATGCCATCATTATAAGCGACCTGAAGTTTATTCATACTGCTTTTCCTGTAACGCCGCCACAGGTGGGCTGTATACATTGGAGTACAGTATGCTTTAAAAAGTGCAATTTTGACAGGTGTTGAACGCATGGAGAACTTCAGAATATCACAGACAGACAGAATATCACAAGATCATCAGGTGGTTGATGGTTCGATTACCAACCCGACAGCCAGTTCTACATTGATTCAGCAGCTTAGATAAATCATCTATATACAGGTTAAAAAGGCCTTTAATCAAAGGCCTAATAAATGTCCTTTGATTATTTTCTAACATTTTCATTATGTCTAGTTACTGAAATATATAATAATATAGAATAATATAGAAATAAAATATAATATATTATACATAAATACATTCTTGCCTTCTTGTCCAAAGATTAAGATGCAGATTGAGAGATTTGGATTACATATTTGGGTTGTTTGTGATGCATCACTCCCTCACAGAGATGGATGAAAGGCTCGCTCCAACGACATTGATTATTAATTTCCTGGACTTGATGATCAAGCACCTTTCCTAATTCCGCTGCTTCCCCCCCTGGAACATCACCTAATCTGTTTCATCAGACTTATTTGGATTGTGTGGCTTTTAACAATAAAACATGTTTACTTTTTACACCCAGAGCTGCAGGTTCCTTGATTCACTCTTAAGAGTCAGTCATAGAAGATCAATGAAACGCATCACGGTCCGCTGTGAGATTTTGTCCACTTCATTCAGCAGGTTGAGCTCATTCGGCCTTCAGCACATCAAAATGATCAATAACACAAACCACAGAACACGTCTGCATTCAGCGATGCTAGGAATTATTAGCAACTTCTAACACTGCATCAGTGTTGCAGTGATGCTGCAACATCTGCAGGAAGACAGAGATTATTTTAAAACATTAGAAGACAATTAGTGTTAAAAATAATCAAACCTGCGTGCTTATTAAAACCTTTAAATCGGTAGTGTTTTTTTCTCACCAGGTTTCATTTTAGACAAATTAAATTCACTGTGAAAATGCAGTGTGAATGATTAGTCCTGATCTAATTGTCAACAAATTATAGTTCAATTAAAACGCGTAGAACAAATGCAGTAAAAAAAGGTAGCTGAAATGTAAAATCAACAAAACTGTATACTAATATTAACAAAATAGTGACTAAAAATTAAAATGAGCAACATCTAACTAAAAATCTATACCAAAATTGTAACTAAAACCTAAAGATAACTAAACTGTAGCTATAGCTAAAAAAAATTGCATTTGAAAGATGAGCATAAAGTAAAATTTGCAAAATAATGACTAAATAGTAAAATTAGTAAAACCATAGCTAAAAGCTGAATAGTTAAAGCTTAAACTCATAAAACAGTAGCTAAAGCTAACCACAATAAACCCTACCTAAAAGTTGAAATGATCTAAAAATTAGCTAAAAGGTCAAATTAGCAAACTGACAAAAAGCTAAAATTAAAAATCTGTAGCTAAAGCTAAAATTGGCAGAAACTGAAACCTAAATAGCAATACCAAAACTATAGATAATTACTAGAATTAACAAAATAGCTAAAAGCTACAACAAAACAGTAACAAAAACATAAATAGCTAATTGTGTCTAATAGTTAATCCTATCAAGATCACAAAGCAAAGTTAAAGTTTTAAGAACAATTTAGAGGTCTTAATGTGTTTTTATATAGGAAAGTATTTGAATTAAAGTAGGCCTATAATAATCAGAAGAAACAAAACAGGAAAACTGACTCAGCATTCACATTAGGTGTGCATGAAAATAACGTATTTTGTGTCATTTCTATGTGTGACTTGAAGTTTTATAGGGATTTATAAAAAAAATTCAAATAAAAACTGTGGTTTTGGCCAACAGCAGGTTTTAATCTGAGATTCAAATGCCACTGATTTAGACAGAACAACAAACCTGGTCTGTGAGTCAGAGACATTTAGTTAGCCT